GATCTTCCCAAGAATCCGTCTCGAACGTTCGAGCTTTTCGTATTTCGAATTGAAGATCAAGTACAGTAATTCTTACGAATACGATTCCCGAAATTGATTGTTATGGATTCCATTCATGACATGGAGCTGTTTCGAACCCGAGAAAATCACTTGTTGACGTGACATTTTCGTGCGCACTCTCAAAATATTTTTTCTTTTGATCAATCACGGATATACCGCATTATTCTAAGATTAAAAAAGATTTCTTCCTGCGTCGTCCCACGGCACCGCGAACAGCAACCGTCGGTCCAGAAATTCTGAAATTGCGAGTCCGTTGGAAAACGAGTGCTTTTCAGCTTGAGTTACGGGAGTCCGAAGACAGTCCCGGTGGTGAGCTGAACTCTACGATGGCATAATTCCTTTCGGATCCCGTCTTCCAACGAACCCTTTCCCAGATATACTAAGGAACTCGCAAATATTCAAGCATTGAATCACTTTTCTACAATAACCATTGTATTGTAATTCATGCGCCATAAGTCGTCGGATGATGAGGCTACGTTACGCTCGTATTTTGGTCAGTTCGTTGTACTGTACAGATAATCTTTGGCGTGTATCGAAGGGGATATAAGGAGAAACAAGAGCCCAGCATTTCCAAGGTAACCCTCTCGCAGCTTGACCTGAGTACTGATGATTGTCGAAATTGGGAAGAATCTTGTGTTCCCCGCGGAAAGAAATTAAGATTTCGAACCACTGCGCTTCGATTTCCTCGGGCGGCGCAGAAATGTTTGCCCAGCCGAGGAAGGGGTTCAGTTTTTCACTCGCCTCGCAGAAATCCCTGCATTCAACACAGTTATGTGTGCCATTTTTAAATTTTCGATCGATTCATCATAATCTTTCAGGTCACAAGATTATCTTTGTGTGGACCGAAAAAACAATTTCGTCGATCAGCAGCAGTGAACGAACTACGATTGATGTGCACCATGCACAATAATGGTACATGCAAGCGTTTTTCGTGTGAGGTTTTTGAAAGGCACATTTATGTAGCCACTAGATAAGCTTTTCTTACCCAAGTGATAGATGCCAATAATGATGGTCCTATGCTGAAGATAACTGGAATATGCTGGTGCTACTCAAGCGCTTCCACCTCTCAGAAATGGTAAAAATTGACGCGAAGGCTGAAAAGCTCCATTTTACATCAATCAAGTCAATCAATCGAATGTAGACAAGGAGCAACTGAAGTGAGACTTGTGGATTGTCATCGAGAACCAGCTATAAGTACGCTTGGAGTTCTGACATGTTTCGACGACAGCATTCGACGGAAATGCCCGAGAAATGCTCTCCGGAAGTTCCCGCCGTAACGCAGGCTGAAATCCTTCGGAGCTGCTTTCAGGTTCTTTCCGCGTCAATAAACTATTGATGTGGTCTGTAACTGTTTCCGTGATTGCGTCATGATCTCTAAGATTCAAATTAAATGCTCCGATTGATTTAAAAATTTCCGAGGAAGAAGCAAAAATGTGATGGGTTTACATTGCTAAGAAACGACCGGACATCCGATTCCTTGACCCGGGAATTCCACGACGGAAATTCATCAAAAAGCTTGGACTTCTCTGTAGCGCAAGCTGAAATCTCACTAAATGGCTACATTGCCGGAATCCTGCTGAAATATAGAGATGTCAATGCCAACCGAGTTACCGTTGAATCATGAAATTACCATTTAAAATTGCAAAAAAATGTGAAAGAAGAAATGCGAATGCGGATTTGGACGAAAAACAAGTGTTTGTATATTACTGGGTATTTTTATGGCCTCTG